GGATGTCTCTGGGCTATGCCCCGGATATATATACTCACCCTAGAACCGCCCCCTGGTGTATGCGCTTACATAAAGCTTTATTTCACATCCTGACAGCTCAATGAGGAAAGGAATTGTAGTGTTTGCTGTAGGGGTGTCAAAACAGTAAATTTCTGCATGCATATGCTGAGAATAGGTGCCTGATAGAATGAACGTTTATTTATCATGCAGTTAAGAGTGTGCACACACACACATTTTACCATGACACTAATTCAACAGCGCGATTATGAATTATGGATCAATGATACTTCAGATACATGCACACTGAAGCATGCAAACACACACACACGCACACACACACACACACACACATAACGTCCTTGAACAACAAGGCTCTGGTAAACAAGTGGAGTAATAATCACCCATGTGTGTCTAATATCTCAATTGCTACACATCTGATTGATGACCCTACATTTAATCATCTATGTCATCTTCCAAATGACTGAAGTGAAAGTTACAAATATGATTATATGCCACTCGGTTCACAAAGTACACAGCTAATTTCTAATACTTACTGTAATTCAATATACATATTTGCAGCAAGTGGTCAGTAAAGCCTGACCGACTGCATGAGGAACATCTCCAATTTACATGACTGCTCAAGAACTTTCCAAAATCTTTTGTGGAACACAAAAGAAGATGTTTTGAAGCCGTTCAAAACATAATGTTTTGTGTTCTACAAAAGAAACAAGATGAAGGTGAGTAAATGATGACAGAATTTTCACTTTTGGGTGAACTATCAATTTACTTTAAGATGCAGTGTTTCCCAAGGTATATTAACGGCGGCCCAAGTATATTTGGAGAAACACTTTTGCTTTTATTATTTTTATCCTCATACTTTTTTTTATCCAACCGAAATAATGAAAACATCCGCGATCGATTAACTAGTGGAATATCTCCCCTTGCCCTACATGTTTTGTATCTGCTCGTTCTGTGTGTGCGAGAACACACAGTTCTCACTGACATTCCCTCGTGCGCTGCAGAGACAAAGGCCATGTCCACACGTACACGGGTATTTTAAAAAACTGAGTTTTTCCTTCTTCCGTTTTAAAAAAAATCTCTGTCTACATGAAAACGCAAACGCATGCTATGAAGCACTGTCAAGAGCATGCCAAACCAACAGGTGGTGATATAATCTCAACCGTGAAGCCATGTTGGTCAATCCGAAGCCTGAAAAAGTTTCCAGTAGGCGGAGATAACAGCGCAGGCTCCGACGTCACAAGCCAAAAACTCCGGTTTCGCTGTCTACACGATAACACTGCAACCGGAGTTTTTGAAAATCTTCACCCTGGCAGGCGTTTTCAAAAATGTTCGGTGTCAGTGACCTGGTGCTGCGTTTGCGTGTGGACAAATGGCCAAACCGCATAGAAAAAGCTGTGGTTTTAAAAATAACCGCGTTCGTGTGGACAGGGCCAAAGACAGGGCTCGACAGTGCGGCCGCTTCAGTCGCATTTGTGACTAAAAATAGATGTGTGCGAACTGAAAAATGTATTTACGAGCAAGTGTGCGAATAAAGCAAAATCCCTCAGGGTGAGTTTTCTTACATTTTATTTCATTAAAAAAAAGTCTTCAATACATGAAATGGTAAAACAAACATCTTAATTATTATTTTAAGACGTCTTATATTTGAGGATGGAAAAACAAATCGCGATACAGCCTATTGATTATTAAACTTCAAAGTCGTGGCCTAATGGTTAGAGAGTCGGACTCGTAACCCAAAGGTTGCGGGTCCGAGTCTTGTACCGGCAGGGATTGAAGGTGGGAGAGAGCGCTGTACATTCTGTGTGTACAGCGCTCTCTCCCACCTTCAATACCACGACTGAGGTGCCCTTGAGAGCTGTTGCGCGTTAAACAGACTCGCGCAACAGCGCTTCAAACTGCTTCAAAATGATTCTCAATCAATGAATAGCGCACATTTATGGCAAGCGATTGTTTATGTACTAGTTGATGAATTATGACAATGTCTACTTTATGACCTTTATATAATATGTATTAGACGGTTGTAAGAATGCATATTTTATCTCTCATCTGAAGGATCAGGCCACAATAGTGTAGACATTTCAAAATAAGAGTCCCTGTGTTTTTCGGGCTTGTTTTTGTTTTTTTCTCTGGGCGTTATTGGTATTTTGGTTACACAATAAATTGTATTTAATTTAATTTCCATTTAATTCATAGTAAACTATTGTAGTTTCTGGCTGGGATGCTTCCCCACAGGAAGAAAAGTCAAAGAACAATATTTGACACATATTATTCAATATATAGATTTTACTATTATCAGTAAAATCTGTGTCCCATTCACTGATAGAGACACTATATGGAAAAGCAAGGAGGATTCTACCATTTAAATGCTGTAATTTTGCATAATTTACAATGCATAATAATGCATAATATGAGTATGTAATTAAATATAATAGTAGCCTATGTAATTAAAATGAATTTCAATAAATACAAATACTGTTAAAAATCACACATTATTTGTTATTTGTCACATATAGTAGACCATTTTTGGCCGTGGGTAATAGGAGGATTTTCCACCCGGCTACCACCGCAAGTATATTTCAAACCTGTGGGAAGCACTGAGATGGGATGTTTTCGTAAACGGCCCCAGAATACTACCTAGTTTTTCTACATAGAGAATAATCCCTCATCTGTGCTCAGGTTTAAATTGAGTTTACAATACGAGCCCATTGTAATACTGAAGTACACACATCTCCTCCTGTTACAAAAAGAGAGGATGTCTGCTTTGGAATTACAACCCCTGTCTGTAGTGACATTTAACCAGAAGTGGAATTCATGAGCATGTTCACCTGAGCGAAGAACGGAACGATAGGATATTTACAATGGGTCATTTAGTTTAAAGAGAAGGGAAGGCAGCTTTAGGAAAGAACCTGAAGGAGCCTGAGGGGAGCATGAGAGCTTCATTCACACCCACTGACATTTTCCAGAGGACAAATCAATTAGCAGGGTATTAAAGAGAGTCCGTGTGTGACTGAGTCCCCAGGCTCTTAAACAGTAACTGAGAAAGCACTGCAGAACGCATGCACAAGCACACACACATAACAACAAAAGCATGATCAGACACCCTCTAGATAGAGCATGAACAAGAAAAACACAGCTTCCACTAATAAAACACATCCTGGCACGGCAAACTCTTATGCTTCCTTTTATATCCTGCTGTTAGAAAAAACCAATGGGATCTAGGGGAGCAGGACTAGGTAATGAAGGAGTACTAATGATTTGAAGCCTGAATAGTTGTGATGCATCCAGAACAAGATAAAAGAAAGAGCATGGAATTCAACTAAATAACACTGTCAACCAACCATATTCACAAAGAACTAGACTGTTATGTCCAATGTTAAAATAAATGTAAAATATAATGCTAAAGGCTGAATCCAGTAAATATCATTTAAACAGTTTTAAAAGCATTACAACATTATAATGTAAAGCAATCGATATTACTGATTATTATCCATATTATTCATTCCACTGCCCTGCATCTCACTTTATTAAAGCTCTTTATGTTGAAAATATGGGTATCCTATTTTCCAAAACAATATAAAATATGAGAAATGTTGAACTCCTATTATGTATTTTATTTTTTATTTTTTAAGTTCCTCCCTGTGTGTCAAGGGTAAATTTATTTAACCTCATGTCCATTTAACCTCTAATACCATCGTAGGCACCACAATTTGTACAGCCTTTCCAAAACACTTCTGTGTCATCAAAACTTTGCATGCATTACTCTAAATGAGAAAGTCAAGTCAAATTTCAAGAACATAATTAGCGTAACCAGTTTAAATATCAAATGTGGGTCAAACTGACCCATAACAAAATAGGAGTGTTTTTCTTTTAAATAAATTTTAAATACATTTTATGTGAATGGCCCCTCAAACAGGTGTGCCTGTGTTAAAACATGAAGGCATCTACCAGTTATTCACTACAATCATATACGTCCAACATTAAGACAGAACTGTGGTGTATCATTTCCCATAAATGAGTATTTGCGACGCGTGGTATCAAACCTATAGATGCAGCCAGCAGTGCATTAAATATGCTTTGCTAATTAATAAAGCATAAACTTTCTGGAAACTTTTTTTTAAGCAAACATGAGTAAATAATGTGCCACTGTTACTATGTAATCATGTGACTTGTTCCTTATACTTTTTTTGTCATTGTGATCATTTACATCAGATGACACAGCAGTGTGTCAGAGCGTCTGTCTGGAGGGGAAATACCCACCAACTATAAATGACATTGATCTGAAAGAGGAAGAACATACTATCTTTAAATGGAGAAAAAAGGAATAGGTTATGAGCACTCAACATCTTTATACTCGCTGTACTAGAATCACTAGATACAGTGAAAAAACGTATCAAACAACAACTCTACCACCCAGCAGGCTTGTTCTGAAGTGGAAGTATTTTGAATTGGATCAGTATTAAACAGACCTACTAGCAAGTTACTTTCCTTCAAGGACTTACTGGGCAGCTGTTTTCTCCGGATTATCTCATAAATTCCTCTGAGACAAATCCTCAGAATTCTTTGAACTGTGTTCTACACTGATTTTAACTGAAGATCCGCAAAAAAGGGCATCAACAAGTATCATGTAGAGCCATGCCTCAATTAACACGTCTGCTTAAAATACAGTAAATGACTGTGTGTTGCCATGGCACAGAGTTCCAAGCTCATTTCTCTAATGTAGAAAACAGCAGTTTTATTTGCATGAGGAGGTTTCTCATGATATACACACTAATCTAGCTTGCCTGTTTCAGTGTAGATTTTCTGATTTACATTTTTTTTAATTAAAAAGGTATTTCAGGGCAAAAAAAGGCAAATAAGTGATCAGATCTTGTTGCATTAGAGAAAGTAAGCAAAAAGCTTAAGCTAAAATATTGCAGATTTTGTCCCCTTGTTCTCACTGTAAGCACTGACTCTCCACCCCTCTTATGGGACTGTCCTACCTGAGACTTGAATCCATCCGTGATGTGGTTTGTGAGATGAATAGAATAAAGGGTTCTCCATTGTGTTTCTTCTCCTTTGCATCATTGTGATTGGTAATCTGAACCAATAAACCTGAGGATAATCTTCTGAGAGAGGCAGGCATCCCTCTATCTGCTACTGACTGACGTTCCAAGTCCTCTTAGCTGCAGCGTGCTTCAGAGAGAGAGAGAGAGAGAGAGAGAGAGAGAGAGAGAGAGAA